AAAACGTCACTGGCAGAAGGGAATTTGGCAGAGTGACACAGATCCAATTCTTGTACCATGATCTAGATCAGATTCTATATGAAACCTTATAAATCTTGAGATAATCCTCTCTGTTCTTCATGTCAGAATCATAATTAGAATCATCGTTGAATCTTTATAGAATCTTGCATTCATCATTTGGAAAAAACCTAGACCGGACCCGGAAGAATACTTGGCACGATCCTCAAGTTTCAGAATTTTGGCAGATCCTATCAGCATTTCTCAAAAAATTAATAGGAATGAGACTACAGTTGATTGATAACAGAATTTCAATTTCAATTGGTTTAAGTCTTTCTCCCATAAGAACATAATGACCTATTTTCTCAAAATGCTCTCAAACAAAAATTTTGTTTCTAATATAGTACTATGAACTTATGCATGTAATATTCGCATATAATTGAGCTCTTATTGATGTACAAAAAGAAATTATACAATTTTCAGAAGTTGAGGTTATCATGCATTTTTCTCGTGGGAGTGAAATGGAAGGAAAGAAGCAATGTAACTATTGTCCATTTCAAAATATAATGTCCTCTATTGTTTTTTGAATAACTCGAGAACACAAGCAGCTAGAGATCTGCGGTTTTGACCAATCGAAAGAGCAGATTGGAAGACGCCTTTTTCTCCAAGAATGTATGAGAGAAAATTCTTTTAAAACTAATTATTTTCGAAAAACATGTAAAAGAAGACATGAAAATGAGCTGCCATCCAGATGAAATTTTGATTTTGACCTTTGATTTAGATAGAGGAACTTCAAATCTATAATTCAAGATACAATGCAAATTGATTCTCTTATTACATTCTAACGTTGAGCAAATTGAATTATGTGTTTACATGCACAAACAATAGGGATTTTTGCTAATTTATTACTAAGTTTTCTCACTTTTTATCATAATAGCTTGTCATTTCGATGGAAATGTAATGAAAAGTAAGGAAACGCATTATATCTTGAACTACAGATTTGAAGTCTCTCTATCTAAATCAAAGGTCAAAATCAAAATTTCATCTAGATGGCAGCTCATTTTCATGTCTTCTTTTACATGTTTTTCGGAAATAATTAGTTTTAAAAGAATTTTCTCTCACACATTCTTGGAGAAAAAGACGTCCCCCAATCGACTCTTTCGATTGGTCAAAATCGCAGGTCTCTAGCTACTTGCATTCTCGAGTTATTCAAAAAACAGTAGAGGACATTATATTTTGAAATGGACAATACAAATTTCTAATTTTAATGGACAAAAGCAGATGTTTATCAAGCTATTGCGGTTTTTGCGTTCTTAAAATATGCAAGAAGAATTCAAATTTATGCTGTTCTAGTTTTTGATGGATTTATTTATTTATACTCTTCCATAAATATGTTAAGCTAAATAAAACCATCTCATCATGCAATAAATAATTCCAACACGAACATGAATTGATCTCTGACATAGTTACAAGTAGTAAGTCAAATACTTTTCTAAAAGCAAACCACGAATATACGACAAAGATTAATATTTTCCATCGTATTAGTGAAAAGCATCAAAAAAATCTCTCGAACTTCAGATTTTGGAATTTTGTCAAGTATTTACGATTGCAACGATTAATAAAAGTTAGTTGTTCCATAGGTTTCCTCTCAGTGAGAACGTGAAGTTTCAATCGATTTTGAGCCCTGAAAAATTACATTCAGCAGTCGAAAGTACCTTTCGCATACTTTGTCTTATTCTGACAATTCAGCTTGTGATAGATTTCAAACGAAGGAAACATGTGCGAGATTGCAAGAACGAGTATACAACAACAGGAATTAATGGAGCCCGTCATTTCCACTAATAATAGAGAGGCTAGAAAACGAACAGACTGGGTGAAGAATGTCTATGTTAAATTTTCCCAAATTTCTCGTACCTATCGTTTCTTAATCATTTTCTAGAGTTTCGTTTCGTACCAGTGCGCCCTGTTTTTACTGACATTCATCCAAATGCTCGATGGCAACAGAATGGTCTCACTGTCGCTGGAGGAAATGGAAATGGCAATGGAATCAATCAACTCTCATACTCATGCGGTTTATATGTGGATGATGATCAAACAATTTATGTTGCTGATCAATTGAATCATCGTATTGTAGAATGGAAAAGGGGTACGCCGAGTGGACAAGTGGTTGCAGGTGGAAATGGACAAGGAAGTGGAACTCATCAATTATCTAAACCATTAGATGTGATTGTCGACAAAGAGACTGACAGTCTCATCATATGCGACTATTCGAATGAAAGAGTAGTTCGATGGCCTCTTCGAAATGGGACAAGTGGAGAAACCATCATTTCCAACATTGATTGTGTGGGTTTGACAAAGGACGAGAATGGATCTCTCTATGTCGTTGACAATGGGAAAGATGAAGTGAGACGATATGGAAGAGGAGAATTTCAAGGAACAGTTGTTGCAGGTGGCAATGGAAGTGGAAATCGTCTCGATCAACTCTATGGCCCACGATACGTATTCGTCGATCGAAATAATTCAGTATATGTGTCTGAGGGTGAAAATCATCGTGTGATGAAATGGGTGGAAGGTGCAAAACAAGGCATTGTTGTGGCTGGTGGTCAAGGAAAAGGAAATGGTCTTACACAATTGTATGGTCCTCGAGGAGTCGTTGTCGATGAATTGGGCACTGTCTATGTGGCTGATCGAGGGAATAATCGAATCATGCGTTGGACGAAAGGAGCTACACAAGAAAGTGTTATTGTTGGTGGAAATGGTGAAGAAGGACAATCGAATCAACTGAATTGGCCCGACGGTTTGTCATTCGATCGACACGGCAATCTTTATGTCGTCGATTACGGAAATCATTGAGTACAAAAATTGCATATCCATTCAAACACATAGTAGTTATTTACAGCATATCTTTAAAAATGTGATCTTTCATTGAGAATCGTTCTTTGAATAAAAGATTCGATTCGCATGTGAGATGTGATAATGGTACGTGTAAATGATTATGTGGATAGTATGTGAGGGCAATGTAGATTCATATTTCCAGCAAAATAAGCAGTTTCTAACAAAGAATCCGTTTGTCATGTCAGTCAATTTCATTAACTATTGTTGCGTTAAATGATAGTCCTCAACGTAAAACTACGAAATTACAAATGTTGGCTACTGATGACAAGCCTGAACCGAACTATTTAAATTTTAAGGTATTGACAGTATCGGTTATGTAATAAATAGAATTTTTCAAATTCACAATTTTTGCACTATCGGTTGACTTTTTAGCATGAGTGTATTGGTTTTCAGATTTTCTGGCGGTTTAATATTGTGTAGATGAGCAGAAAAAGGTTTCATTCATGATAACAAAAACTCTTTTGATGCTTCTGTTTGTATTAAAGTCAAAAGTAACATGTGGTGCAATCTATCTTTATTATTCTGCAGTAAAAATGAAGATAAAGATTGTCAATCCGATGATAATGACAAAAATGTTTTTTGCATCAAGCACAAATGAGAAGTGTTCGATTTTCACAATTGATCATTGAACTTGAAACAAATATCGTTCGGCTTTTTGACATCTTCGACGGCTTCATGAATTATTCCAGCATTAATAAATCCGGATTTGATTAGATTTTTGAATATGAGAGCGAATAATTGATTATGAATAATCGATTGCATATTTATAGAGTACTGATGGTGACTCATATTGATTTCTGTTTGATTAACCCTTTGAGGACCGAATGTTTTTAATTCAAAAAAAGAATTTTTCAATCTTTTTATTTTATTTTAACTCAAACTGGCTACATAAAAATATTATGATAATCAAAAAAAACAATCTTTTTCATCTTTTAAACAAAATAGCAATGTGCAAGTAAAACACTTGATGTTGGATCGAAAATCTGCTTCCTTGGTGTCACAATAAGCACATCATCTTCGTTTTCCTTTCACAGGCAATGCATTTCATTGCCAAAATTAAGGATAGTTTTTGGTGATGCTAGTTTAGACTTATTTTTAGAAAGAGGTCTTCCACGACTTATTCGTTCATTCCAGGAGCAGAGAGACTTCGGTATTGAAATCCAAATGATATGCTTTGCAAATTCAAGAACAACATAAATTCGTCCATAAGAGCGGGAGTATATATAACCAATAGAGAATGAGAATATTCTCGAGAAACAAAAGATCAGATGAGAAGAGAGAAATTATGATGCCATTGTACCTTAGTAGCAAGAACAAAGGATGTTTGAAAAGAATTCACATGAGAGAAGGAAAAAAAGAAAAGAAAACTATAGGATGATAAATGCAGTTGTTTATGATCTTAATGACCTTACATATTTAATAGTTTAATGTGAACTAAACACGGTTTTCTTTACTGAAAAATAGGTGGGTCAGAAATGACCCACCGGTCCTCAAAGGGTTAACCACCCATAGAAATCTATGAAATTCACTAACTTAAAGATATAGAAGTCATCTGAAACAATGCAACATCATGGAAGACATAAAACGTTCAAAAAGTTCAAGGCTTTATCCATAGGAGAATACCAAACATCACATGCAAGCTGCGAGTTTCAAGAATAAGTTGAAACGCCGAAAAATCAGAAGCCATCCATGAAATTTCCAAAAGCCGAAAATACCGTCAAAGCTAAAAGATCAAACAATTGCAAAGATTCCATTGATTATCCAACACCCAAAGATGGAACCAGTCTTGGATGTGAATAGGTATAGGTGTGGGTGTTGATGTGTGTGACTGTGTATGTAAGTCTTCTCTTGATCAACACCCACACTCACCCTAATTTTCGATGAGTCCGATATCTCGAAAACTTTGGATTCTCATAGAAATCGCCATACCATGATTACGTCAACGACCTCAGCAAACATTCTTATCTCATGAAACACTTGCACTCTTCACTCAGGTCTCCAATACCAGTGAACTGTATAGAAGTGTCTAGAATTTCTAGAGTTTCAAGGTGTGAAAGTGCTTAATGTCTCATAATTCTCTGGATCTGATAGACACTCTCATGGATTTTGCTATTCTGAGGACTATACAACATTTCAAGTGACGAAATCCTTGCAATTTTTGCCTTGCGTTTACACGAATCAGTATGTTCATACGAGCCTGGAGAAATTCAACGATTTCCATTGTTGAATTTCTAAGAATTCTTTGAATTTGATAGACGCGATCATGGTCTTCACCATTCTGAAAGCTAGACAAGGTTTCAGATCATGGAATCCTTAGAATACTTGCTTAGGTTTCGCATGCCTAGGAATCGGCATGAAAGTCTTTAAGGTTTCTAGGATTTCAAGGATTCCCAGCGTTGGATGTCCTGAAATTCTTTGAATCTGATACATACCACCATGGCTTTCATCTTTTTGAAGGGTACACAACGTTTCCAGTGATGGAATCCTAGGAATCCTTACTAACGCTTAACATACCTAGAGATTGGCAAAGGCATCCTCAGAATTTCAACAGTTTCAAGGATTTAGATTACTGAATGTTTAGTAATTCCTTCATTCTGATAAACGCCACCATGGACTTCACTATTCTGAAGGCTACACAACGTTTCAAGCCATGGAATCCTTACTTCAGTCTTGAATTCTAGGTTTTCAGATTTCTGAAAGTCGTAGAATAGTGAGGATTTCAAGGATTTTCTGTTACTCTACGTTTCTTCAGGTGTTTTACAACGTCAGGCTATTTCAGGAACATTGAAATACAAAGTTTTGCAATGATTTTCATTCATTTTTAATGAATTGGAAATGTTGAATTTTTCAAGGATTCCAAGGTTTCGGAATCCTTGAAAAATGGCGGCGTAACGGGTTCCTGGGTTGGTATCGCTTCATAGTATTGATCAGTGATATTTATTTTAAATTTTTAAAAAAACACAGTGTACAAGAAATTTTTTTTTAAAGTTACCTGTCCTTTATTTATTGGATTCGATGTTGAATTTTTGTACTCGATGATTTTCGAAATCGACGACATAGAGATTGCCGTGTCGATCGAATGATAAACCGGAGGGCCCATTGAGTTGATTCGATTGTCCTCCTCTTCCATTTCCACCAACAATGACACTTCCTTGTGTAGCTCCTTTCGTCCAACGCATGACTCGATTATTTACTCCATCAGCCACATAGATAGTGCCCAATTCATCGACAACGACTCCTCGAGGATTCCACAATTGTGTAAGACCATTTTCTTTTCCTTGACCACCAGCCACGACAACGCCTTGTTTTGCACCTTCCACCCATTTCATCACACGATCATTTCCACCATCAGACACATATACTGAATTATTTCGATCGACGAATACGTATTGTGGGCAATAGAATTGATCGAGACGATTTCCACTTCCATTGCCACCTGCAACAACTGTTCCTTGAGATTCTCCTCTTCCATATCGTCTCACTTCATGTTCTACATTGTCAATGATATAGAGAGATCCATTCTCGTCCATTGTCAAACCCCAACAATCGATGTTGGAGATAATTGTTTCTCCACTTGTCCCATTTCGACGAGGCCATCGAACTACTCTTTCATTCAAATAATCGCAGATGATGAGACTATCAGTCTCTTTGTCGACAATCACATCTAATGGATTAGACAATTGATGAGTTCCACTTCCTTCTCCATTTCCATCTGCAACCACTTGTCCATTCGTTGCACCCCTTTTCCATTCTACAATACGATGATTGTATTGATCAGCAACATAAATTGTTTGATCATCATCCACATATAAACCACATGGGTTGTAGAGTTGATTGATTCCATTGCCATCTCCATTTCCTCCAGCGACAGTGAGACCATTCTGTTGCCATCGAGCATTTGGATGAATATCAATGGAGCTTGCACGTAATGAATGAACTGAAACATGGACAGAGAGAAATGAAAGGATAAATTAAAAGAGAAAAAGTACAACGAGAGAGTACAAAAAAAACTAATGAAAAATTTATTTGAATTTTTTTTTTTTGCTGTATCTACCATATATTTTCATAGTTCGACTAGCCTTTAATATTATTCTCATAATAAGATATTTCTTCTTTATTCACATGGTTTTTCTTTCTCAAAAAAAGAATTTTTCTATGAAAACGAACAAGCAAATTATTTATTTCATTTTCTTTCTTTCTTTCTTTCATTTGTCATATACATATATATAGAAAATTATATAATGTTGAAAAGAAAAACAAAAATCTTTTTTTTTTCGATTGTCTTTATTACTTTCGTCATACTTCAATGAATCAATTCTTCGAAAAACAAGAAAACAAAAATTTACAAAAAGAAAAACAAGCTTTTGACAAAAATCAATTTACCTTCAAACATTTTACATTACTGGAAATTTTACTCATTTCAATGACATCAATACTTATCAATATATTACTTCTTGCTTTTTTTTTCTCTTCGAAACAAAAACAAATTTATTCACATACTAAGTAGTCATTCATTCTTCGACAGAGAATAATTGTGTTGTCTTTACTCTTTTCGTTTCTTTTTTTTGTTAAACATACGTACACTCATCTTTTTTCTTATCTAATCACAAAAAATAAATATCATGATTAACAGTTGAACAAAAAAGTAAAACAAAAACATACCATATTATCCTGATCTAGAGTTCTACTCAAATATTATTCTTCCTTTTTTTTCTTTTAAGAAACAAAAGAATATGATCAATTAATTCAGACAATATCTCTATACATACTTACATCTTATTTCAAAAATTTCTACTAAATTCATTCCTTCCTAGATACACACTAAATCTTTTCAATGATAATCTATCTTACTAAAAAACAATATATATATATATATATATCTTTATTTTTGAAATAATACAAAATGTACAATTTTTTTTTCTATCTCATGTACTATTATCTACTTCGCCAAACAAAAAAATAAACAATTAAAGCATATTCATTTTATTATCGACTGCACTGCAAATCTACTCGCGCGCAGAGACAATCAAACAAAATTATTCTATGCGAAATTATATCAACTTTAATGATGTTGTACTATGCAACAACAAAAAAAAAACAAAAACATTACAATGTCCTCATTTGTTTCATTCTATATCAATTAGAAATTGCGCTTTACGCGAAGAAGAAGAAGAAGAAGGAAAAAAAAAAGAAACTATAATCTTAACAACTATCTATTCTCATGTAATGAGAGTCATTATCAAAGATAAATCATAATTAAAAAAAAACAATTTTAATCTCATGGATGATCATACATTCTGCCTAAAATTTTAAAAAATAATTGTGTTTGTCGTACCCATCACAATATCATAGAAGAGCAAAAAAAATAAGAATATTGTTGTTATCACTAACCATACCTATTGCCAAACAAATCTTTTCAATCTATGATGTTTCAGAATGTATGAGGCTTATTTTTCGATCATGTGTTTCTTAATTAATAGAACACATTTCCACTATAATATTTTAATGAAATGATAGAGTCTCTCATTTTCTCAAAGAAATTATCAGAAATTACTTTTGCAAGTGTCATGAGCAGCTATCATAAAAGTCTCAATTTTCATCTCATAATGGTAACATTATGCACCAATTTTCATAATAAATCTCTCCATGATTTAATATTTTACAGTCAAAAGTAAGAATTTCCTCAAGTTCAACAGCGGAGCTATCGGAATCAAATATAAAAATAGCGAAGTAGAACTCATTGGCAGAAATCTCTAAATTCGTTTTAATAGTGTTAAATTATGGTTATACAGTATCATATTTGTCTCGGATTCGAATCTGCTTAGTTTTGAAAAAGAAAAGAATACGAATAAATGTTTGATTTTATATCAACTTATTCTTTTGGGCTGCCAAGATTTGTACATGTGTTCTATCAGTTAAAAGTTATACCTGTTCTACTCTCATCTTATTCTACATATTTTATCAACTATTCACATATTGTATACTTATAGCCTGTGACTTTCTCTTGGATATATACCTTCGTTTATCTCATCTATATACACTATTTATTGTCCGACCAGATGCGGATAGACATATATCTGCTCTCTTCCTCTTCCACTAGGTCAAGCTCACGGGTGAACATTTTTTGATCACGAAAAAGTTAAGTTTTGATCACCAAATCAATCCGAAGATGAACAAATTGCATAGAGAAAATAACAGATATTAACAATATTGTCATTCGTATAAAACAGTATCTAAGTAGAGTGCCATACTTGTATTAATCACATTAAGTTGACAAATCGAATCCAGAAAACAATTCTGGTCGCTTTTGGCGATGTTCATTATTAATGAAATCACTTAATATTGATTCATGTATTGGCGAATTCAGATGTTCTTCCATTAAAGATGATTTGATTTGAAATTGGGACAAACTTTATTGGACATATCTGACCATTGTTTAGCGAAGATATGAGTGTAACCGTATTATTGGTTGGCGTTATTTTGTAGATGCTCATGAATATTTCGTGACATAATCGTCACTGAGCTTGGATCATAATCTGGTGCAATTATTTAAATATCGTCAGAGTGTAATGTATACTTTCTGTATTCACCGCATTGTACTCTATTAATGAAAGTCATCAGGACTACTTTGCGCTAATTATAAGCTCATTTGAACCGGATGAGATGGAAAAATTCAGTTTCATTTATCGAACGTTTTGTGCTATTTTAATTGCTTTATCTCTTAATTAATTCGGTGATTAAAACACATTTTCCCTCAAGCTCGCGCCAGGAGACGCTGAATGTATAAAAGGGCGATGATCAAAAATAAAGAAAAGTGTTATGGTCTAACACTTTTCTTCTTATAGAGACCAATCTTGTCATACAACTAAATCAGTTTTAATCCATTTTATGTGATTAATAAACATATGAAAGTCATAAATTAGTAAATCTTCTATCATGGTAGAAATTTTGCAGCTCATAAATCTCAAATGAATGAGAAATTTTCTCATTCACACAATCCATCTAGAGTGAGAAACGAACAACTTACCAACTGTACCAAGAGTTAGAATTATTTGACTATTTTCACTAAATACACTGACACCAATTTCAGTTACTGATCGCACTTTAAATAGAAATGGTACACCAGCCGGCAGATTTGATATATGCTTCTCTTTTTTGGCGTCATCCGTCGCAACAGCAGTCCATGCCCCGGGAGAATTTTCATCAGGAACAACTTGTTTTTCAGCACTAACATAAAGATACATAATTTCATAGTATTTGATTTCTTCGGATCCGATTTGTGCGTCGTCCCATGCAAGTGTAATACTGTCATCTGTTGCATTAGTTTTACGTGGTGCCTTCGGTTTACTGGGAATCACGAAACTTTCATTCGGAACCCCATTCTCATACAGTACAAGTAGAGCTTGCTTAACACTATCTGTGGGATATTCTTCATTGACAACAAATTTTATATTACTACTTGTATTAGCATTACTTGCAGCGAATTCAATGAACTGTCGTAAACTAGTACGAGTTTTACTCAAAACAGAACTATTTTTGAACCATGCTAAATTTGCTTTCCCACTATTCAAGCCATCTGTACCTTGTAGATAATTCGACATATCTTCAAGTTGTGGATCCTGTTCGTCCGTAAAACGAAACGATAGACATAAAATATATTCATAACTAAGATCACCAATTGTATCATTGAGCGATGACGACTTCACTGTAATATTTGCTTTCGAGTTTTTCGTTAAAGCTGAGATAAACTGTTCCATGAGAGAAACTTCCTTCTCTTTATCTTCAACCCATGAAGTAAGTTTTTGTTTATTAAATGGTGATATATCGACCTTTTTGAATAAAGTGAGCAAAGCGGATTCTTCGGAACCACCACCTCGTACGGTTGGTAAAATTGATATCATTTGTTTTTTCAAGTCACGGTCTAATTCTGATAGCCGAGCAGCAAAATCGGATAGTTGCTGTTGCATATAGCTGAAATATGTAAACATTTTACTTGTTGTTAAATCCAATACACGTATTTCCAATACTTGAAGATCTTGAAGAAAATTCACACAGTAATCGACAACGCTTGATGAAATATCTCTAACAATTTTCATCGCTTTACTATCTAATCGATGTAATGGATATAGCGAAACTTTTTTTGGTACAGCATTTTGTTGTTTGTCTCCTAAATATTTTGGTAAATCGGCATAGATTCTAATAGCATCTTCGAAATTACGAGGATTTGTATCCAATTTAAAATCACCGTAAAATGTACAATTCAATTTATCGACAAAATTTCGTTCATTTTCGTTCAAATTCAACTTGACTTCTGCTTCTATTTTGCACATTGGTATTTTGTTAATCACAGCATGTAAAGTACCAGCAACCTCTTTTTTGTTTTCTTCTTCTGATATAACACGATCAAATATAAAGAATGCCTCAGCACCATAAAGTACACCAGTAACTACATGTGTTGCTATATTTGAGTCGAATAATTCTGGATGACGTATTCTACCTGCCCCAAGGTGATTCATCGTCAATTCCTTAAATTTTGTTGTTGTATGATATTTTAACGTAAGGCGAGTTACATGATTCGATTTGTTAGAATCATCAGCAAATTTAGCAGATCCATCAATGTTAATTAAGCCACCTATGAGGCTTAATTTTACACTTCCTTCAACTCCCAATGAATGTGCTTTTGCTTGTAATGAATCTTCAGTTATTATTTTCACATGAGTGTCTGGCTTCGGGTATTCCATTATATTACACTCCAAGTCCTCCTTATCCCATAGCTTAACTCCAGAAATCAGCATATCACTACGAACATCATACAGCATACCCAACTGAAATGAACGTCCAAGTGAGGCGAGTTCCATCACGTCTGGTCCAGCCATGGTTCAATCTATAGAACAAAGCAAATAGTTCTGATTCTACTGCAACATAGTGATTTTTCAAACCAATTGAGAGTCACTATAGATTCACTCTCTCACGGACAAAACAAAGTTCCTTTTTCTATTTCGTTTTCGACTCACTTCATAGTTGTTTAAAAAAAACAAAATATACCACAAGATACAGCGTGAAAAGGAGTACAATATAAAAAGAACAACTTATTCTGTGGTTGTGTTTTTTGTTTGGAAAATGAACAAAATTCTGAAGCACTAATTTTTGATTCTTCGAAAAAAATGATTTTTTTCATACATGATAAATTTGTTGTTTTTTTGTTTTATCTTTGTATCACTTAATATACATTATTAACAAGAAAACAAAATACATCACAAGATGCAGCATGAAAACTTCTACAATTTACAAAGAACAGCTTATCCTCTAGTTGTTCTTTTTGTTTTCAAAATCGACAAAATTCTATGCAGCTGGGTTTCGACGCTACGACAAAAATCATTTTCTTTTCGAGGGGTCAAAAATTAGTGCTTTAAAATTTTGCTCTTTTTAAAAACAAAAATGCAACTACAGAATAATTAGTTCTTTCTATATTGTACTCCTTTTTACGCGGGTGTGGGTGTGGGGTGTGGTTGGGTGTGGGGTGTGGTTGGGTGTGGGTGTGGGGTGTCGGTGTGGGTGTGTGTGGGTGGGTGTGCGTGTGGGTGTGGGTGGCGGTGGTGGGTGTGGGTGTGGATGTGGGTGGGTGTGGGTGGGTGTGGGTGTGGGTGTGGGTGTGAGATGAGTGTGGGTGTGGGTGTGAGATGAGTGTGGGTGTGGGTGTGGGTGTGTGGGTGTGGGTGGGTGTGGGTGGGTGTGGGTGTGCGGTGTAGGTGTGGGTGTGGGTGTGAGATGAGTGTGGGTGTGGGTGTGTGGGTGTGGGTGGGTGTGAGTGTGCGGTGTAGGTGTGGGTGTTGGTGTGAGATGAGTGTGGGTGTGGATGTCGGTGTTGTGTTCGTCTTATTCCCACCCACACCCACGCTCACACCCACACCCTTCACAACCGGACGAACCATTCACAACCGGACGAACTATTCACAGCCGGACTATTCACAGTCGGACAGACCCACCCTATATATATGACTGTCACAACATTTCACACTCCATTTCGCTCGTCGCTAAGATTCGAGCAAGTGGGCTTAGAAATCCTCAAAACACGCACTCACCAAATACAAAACCCCACCACCTATTCTTTACGCATCTATGAATCACAACAAGATACTATACCACCATAGAAGCACCTACACATACTAACTCTCACCTGTACAGGTAAAAAAGTTCTCACCTGGGCGTAAAAATCCTTCACAAATCCCTTTTAAGCCAATTTTTTTTATAACAAACGCTATTAAACCTTTTACATCACATGATTTCTTCATCCAAATGCCTACATTCCTATAAAAAAAGCCATTTCAAAGCGTTTTCCTCACTATCTTCTTCGTTATACTTAATTTCTCTAAAGAAATCTGAGTCCTTCTAAAAAATGCCTTTAAAGGCCTTTTTCTTGAATTTTTTAAAATAACATGATTTCTTCAGGAAAAGCATGGGATCTAATAGGGAATGGCATTTTAAGGCCTTTTGCGAAGTTTCTGCTTTGTTTTCATGAGTTTCCACTGAGAAATGCGAGTTTCTCTAAAAAATGTGTTTAAAGATCTTTTTCTTGAATTTTTTAAAATAACATGATTTCTTCAGGAAAAAGCATGGGATCTAATAGCAAAAGGCATTTTAAGCCCTTTTGCGAAGTTTCTGCTTTGTTTTAATAAGTTTCTACTGAGAAATCCAAGTTTTTGTAAAAAATACCTTTAAAGGCCTTTAAAGGCCTTTTTCTTCGATCGTATACGGCGGTATACGGCTTCGTAAACGGTCGTATTGGGTCGTCGTAATGCTCGACCTGTGGAGCTTAGGATTGCATAAATCATAAAATCATTCTATCGAGCAATAAGAACAGTCGAAAAATGAATAAAGTTAAAGTTTACCGTGTCGACAGCAGAGTGAAGCTAATGAATTATAGTTTAAGAAAGATTGACGATATTTTTCTTTTAGTAGCTGTATAGAGAGCAATGAAAATGAATCCCTTCAATGAATAAAACACACTTCTCTCCAAGAAACAAACAACATCAAGCAGTTTGTGAAGAAAGGGCGAGTGCAAGATTTGAAACAGCAGTATGAAAGAGAAAGTAAACATAAAATGAGCGCACAGCGAATACATGCACAGCACTCTTTTTACCACTTCACCAAACGTGAAAAAAGTGCTTCATTTCATTCTAATTTATTTGTGTCAACAAAGAAAGAAAAAAGCTGTCTTCGAATGGGAGCGCGCAAAAAAGTATTTCTCTTCATGTATTCACCAAAATAGTAAACGAAATTGAAGACTTTTCAACCAAAAGAATAGCATCAGAGTAGAGTACTAATACAGTTCTCCTTTTACAGCGATCACATCGTTTTTTTCCGTTCTCTTTGATGTTTGTGCTGTGTAAAGAAAAACAAAGTTGCACACTCTCCATGGTAAGCTGCCAGTCGATGGATGTTATTTGAAAAGTGAAATACTAATAAGATACTCAGAGATGATTTTTTTTCGTAGAATAGAAAGATTCAACATCAGTTATAAGCAGTTTTATTCTAACAGAATAGTAGTTGTTCATCAATCCATATTTCTTATCTTTTTGATTTTCATAATTTTACGTTCGAGGAGTGTGATTGTATGTGTACAGGTATTTATTTCACCTTCTACTACCCTTTTGTTTCTCTCTTCTCTGTACTATTTATTTTATCTCTATTGTTCTGTCCTATTTCCATCTTTGTCCCTCTCTTGTTTACTTACTTCTATATAAGCGAATGTTATATGTGAAATAGTTACGCTACAGAAATTTGAAGTAGCTCACGAAGCATGATTGCCTGAAATGACGGTAAGCTACTACCTCCAATTAGCTGTTACATGGCGATTCAGTGTAGTGTATCCCAGCTCACATTCTTAATGTTGATATTTTATCAACAGCAACAACACTGTGAAACGAAGTTGATAATTCAATTGTAAAACGACAGTCAACCATTTGCTATACAGTGAGTAAAATAGAAAATACGAATAAAACTCATGTGATGATATATTTCTTAATCAGCTTGAATGGTGGCGGCCTTTGTCACACAAAGGTTGGCAGGGGCTTTTAGAGCAACATTAATGATATAAAGAAAACTAATTGGAAAATTTTATGCATCAATAGCTGCGAGAATGACCTAGCCATCGAATGCTTCTATCAACCGTTAGAAACATGACAAGGAAGTGTTTCCTTTCTACTGTGTAAGAATTCATTATGTTGGTGCAAGTTCTGTACTAGCAATGCCACACATGGCCCTTACAATGGTTTTCTCGTTAATTACATCGGAAGCGCAAATGAACAACATAAATTATTCAGCTCGGCAAAGAAGGCAACAAGTTGATATTGTTGATGATGAACGTGATTACATATTAGCCGTAACCAGGGTGTGGGTGTGGGCGTGGGTGTGGGTGTGGGTGTGGGTATGGGTGCGGGTGTGGGTGTGGGTGTGGGTGGGTGTGGGTGGGTGTGGGTGTAGGTGTAGGTGGGTGTGGGTGTGGGGTGTGGGTGTGGGTGTGGGGTGGGGTGTGGGTGTGGGTAGTTATACAAGAGTTAGCCACACCCTCGCCCACACCCACACCCACAACCACAACCACACGCACACCCACACCCACACCCACACCCACACCCACACCCACCCACACCCACACCCACACTTTTTCGCAAGTGTTTCAGCCGAAAATTCTGTTAATCATTGCGAAGAACATCTTCAATAATTGTAGATTCCATGCCTAATTTGGCTTCAAAATTACAAGTACCATTCTCGACTAGTCATCAAAATGTTATAAAGACCATCCCAGATAACTCTCAAAAGATTACTAATACAAACCCTAGGCAGCATTTCCTAACCTACTAATACTATCTCCGAGTACCCCCAAAAGTTTCTGATACTGCCCCTAGATAACCATCAGAAAGTTACTAGCATCAGAATTTTTAAAGAAGACAGTTGAAAAAAAAACAAAAGTACCTTATAACTTTTGAACAAAAAGTCGTAGCAATCTGAGGTTTTCACTATTCAATAGAGGACAGTGTCGGGTACAAGCATATGAAAAATGCTCATTTTCGAGTTTCTGAAAAAAAGAAAGTGCTTTTCTGTTACAATTTATTTGATCATACTTTCTTTCTATTTTTCATTGATCTATTATCACAAAAGAACCTCGATTTCTTATTTTACAAAATTAATTGAATCAAAAAATTTACAAATACAAAAACACTGCTATTCTACATTCTCCTCTATTAAGTGGTGAAAACTGCAGGTCGCTGTGACTTTTCGTTCAAAAGTTATAACGTTTTTTTCTTTTTTTCAGTTGCCTTCTTTAAAAATTTTGATACTAGTACTATCTCGAGATAGCCTTCAAAAATTTACTAATAGTACCCTCAAATAATCTCCAAAAAGTTATTGATACTAATTCTAGATAGCCGTCAGAAAGTTACCAACGGTTATCTCATGATAGCCTTCTAAAGGTTACTAATACTACTCCCAAATAGTTCTTAAAAATTTATTACTAATATTATTCTTACAATGGAAGGGTTTGTCATATCAGTTAATAAGATTGATCATGTTCGGGTTAAATTATCACTGTCAACACAAAACTAGTAAATTTAAAATATGAACTGCTAATAGCGAGCCTGCACCGAGTTATTCATATTTTAAGGTATTGACAATTTAGGTATATAAGGACAAGAAAACTTTTCTATTTCAGTTTTTTTTTTGTGCATGAACTATTTTTTTCAAG